TTCATTTTTCTGGTATAAATTAAGTTAAGTTAAAGTAAGAAATAAGTGTACGAGATTTAGGATAGGAAGGGGATAAAAGCGCCAGTAGCGTACAGCTAAGTTCTCTTATTTTTTTTAAGAGAACTTATATCCTATTTTGTCTTTTTACAATCAATGTTTTGTGGTTGTGAGTGCCTTTTTAGCAATTTTTTCTACACCAGTATCTGTTAGATATTTAGCGATTTCTGGGAGCAGGTAATCAACTATTGTATCAATTTCCTCACCTTTCATACTACGTACTTCATTGAATGCTTTCTCTATAAACAACTTTATATCATCCTTTCTAGTTACATCCATAGGAGTCTTATCCCATCCATTTTTCGACAAAATATCTGCATCGTACATTAATAGAATCTTTATTACCTTTTGTCCCTTTTGTGCTTTTTTGGGATTTAGAGAAATAAAAGTAGCAGCGTTATGTAAAGGAGTTTCTCCTTGATTATCTTTAGCATTAACCTTTGCACCTGCTGTCAATAAATGAAATATTACCTCTGCATAACCATGTAAAGAAGCAACATGCAAAGCAGTATCTTGAAATACGTCTATAGCATTAGGATCTGCACCTGTTTCTAATAGAGTTTTTACTATATCTGAACGATCATTAGAAGCAGCGTTATGTAAAGAAGTTACTTTACTTACACAATATGCAGCATTAACTTCTGCGCCTGCGTTTATGATAGCTTTTATTACTTCTATATCTATCTCTTTTCTTTTTGTAGCTCTAAGTAGAAAAGTTTCGTCATCCGTGGGATCTTTAGCTTTAACGTCTATGCCTGTTTCTAATAGAGCTTTTACTATGTTTATAGTGTCTACTCTGTTCTTTTCTTCTGCTGTCTTTGTATTGTAATTAATGGCAATGTGCAATAATGCTACATTATTTAAATTGAAATTTATATTTGGATGCGCTTTAAGTATTGCTTCTGCTATTTTATTAATTACATTCTGCGAATTTAATTCTGGATCAGAATTTACTTGTCTTAGTATTTCATGCCAGTTTATTCCTTGTTGTGCGTTATACATAACCTCTCCTTAAATTAACATTGTATAGTTAATATTTTTTTTTAAAAGGTCAAGCCACTGTGTGGAAAGTAATTAGTAAGTAATTGTAGCGCTAAATGTGCCGATAAATTACTTAAAAAACATTATGTGATTTCTTTTTCCATAATATTTATTATGTAATTTTTATTCAAACCAATGAGGCTTCTGCTGAAGTATACACAGGAATTTGCCACAGAAATATTGACTTGTAGGTCTTTAGCAGAGAATAACAAATAAGTTGAAAATTTCTTCAAATTTAGTATAATCATCTTATGGCTCTTTCAAAATTTCTCGATCCCAAGTGCGATCTCACCTTCAAGCGAATTTTTGGCAGTGAAAAAAACAAGAACATTCTCATCCACTTCCTGAACGACATTTTAGGCTTCACTGACGAAAATGCGATACAAGAGGTTAAATTTCTCAGTACCATAATGAACCCAGAAATTGCCTCTGACAAGCAAAGCATCGTTGATGTACTCTGCAAGGATTCTCATGGTAATAAATATATCGTCGAAATGCAGGTTGCCAGGGATCGCGGCTTCGAAAAGCGTGCCCAAATGTATGCTGCCAAGGCCTATTCAAGACAGTCGGGCAATTATGTTGATTTCAAAAAAGTGTTCTTTATTGCGATTTCCAATAGTACACTATTTCCGGAGGAAGTTGAGTATCTTTCAACCCATAATACCCGTGATACCAAGACTAATGGGAACTACTTACAAGATTTTCAATTTGTTTTTATTGAGTTGCCAAAATTTACAAAACATGCGGTAGAACAGCTAGAAAACACCGTGGAAAGATGGTGCTTTTTCTTCCGTTATGCAGAAGATACTAATGATGAGGATTTGAGGAAAATCACAGAACAGGAACCAGTAATAAAGCTAGCATATAATGAATTAGATAAATTTCATTGGGATGAGAAAGATTTAGTGGCGTACGAAGAAAAGATTATGGATGTTTACAAAGAGGAAAATATTCTTGCTCAAAAATTTGATGATGCTATTAAAAAAGGTAGACAAGAAGGCATTCAAATCGGTGAAGAAAAAGGTGAAATGAAAGCTAAAATTGCAGTGGCTAAAAACCTACTTAAAGCTGGCTTATCTGCTGACCTAATAGCTGAATCTACTGGTCTTTCAGTGAATGAAATTCAAAAATTAAGGAACTAAATATCATCCTACGGCTAATTTAAGATTTTTTTCTGTGCTGCGACCAACTTAGCAATTGGTACTCTATAAGGAGAGCATGATACATAATCTAAACCTAACTCAATAAAAAACTCTATAGATTCTGGATTTGCACCGTGCTCTCCGCATATACCTATTTTAATCTCTGGACGAGTTTTTTTCCCTCTTTCAACAGCTATTTTTACTAATTCACCCACTCCATCAAAGTCGAGTATTTCAAATGGATCATTTTCAAATATTTTATTTTCTTTATAAGAATCAAAAAAATCGACTGAATCATCTCTCGAAAGCCCCATGGTTGTTTGAGTTAAGTCATTAGTACCAAAACTAAAAAATTGTACATGCTTTGCTAACTTATCAGCAATAAGTGCAGCCCTTGGCAATTCTATCATAGTGCCAATTAAATATTCTACATTAAATTTTTCAGCCTCTTCTTGTGCT